CAACCGTCGCGCAAGCGCAATGATCGGGTCCATGTACCCAAGCTTGCCGAAGAGGCGCTGCGTCGACAGGTGCGACACCTGCTGGCTGCTGCCGGCCGTCGCCTCTGCCGCGCGCGCGAGGCCCACGTCGGCGAGGTAGCCGTTGCCGCGCTCGTCGAGCAGGACGTTGCCCGCCGAGACGTCGCGGTGCAGGATCATGGGCGAGAGCGTGTGCAAGTAGTGCAGCGCGCTCGCTGCGTCGCGCAGCACGCGGAGCCGTGCGGCGGCGGAGAGCGGCGGAGGCGGCGTCTCGAAGCCGAGCATGTGGAGCCGCTGGAGCGCGGCTGGAGCGCGGTAGAGGCGGTCCTCGAGGCTGCCGCCGCGGCAGAGGGGGTAGACGAGGCACGCTCTCGCCGGCGCCAAGCAGACGCCGAGCAGAGGAAGCAAAGACCGGTGGCACGCCGCGCTGAGCGTGCGCACCTCGCTCTGCAGCTCGGCGAGGCCTTGGGCGCCGACACCGACCAGCGCCGTCTTGACGGCGAACCCGCAAGCGACGCGCGGAAGCGACGGCAGCGCGTCGCAGCGGTAGACGCGCCCAAAGCCTCCCTCGCCCACCTTGCGCGCCTCGGCAAAACCGTCGGTCGCCGCGGTGAGCTCGTCGAGAGGGACGACGGCGGGCGGCGCGGCGGCGGCGGCGAGGGCGGCGACACTCGACGCCGCCTCCACTGCCTCCGCCGCCGCCGCTGCCTCCGCTGCCGCCTCCGCTGCCGCCGCCTCTTGAGCCTCCGCCGCCGCCACGGCCGCCACTGCCGCCATAGCCGCCGCCCCCGCCGCTACCTCCGCCGCCTCCGCCTCCGCCTCCGCCCTCATCCTCGCCTCCTCCCTCTCCCTTGCCGCCACCTCCCTTGCCCTCGCCTCTGCCTCCTCCCTTGCGCGCGACGCCGCCTCCGCCTCCTCCGCCGCCCGCGCCGCCGCAGCCTCTGCTACCACCCGATCCGCTTCCTCCGCCACTCGCGCCTCCTCCGCCGCCCGCGCCTCCTCCGCCTGCTCCGCCGCCCGCTCCGCCGCCCGCGCTGCCGCCGCCGCCGCCTTCTCCTCCTTCTGCCGCTGCCGCTTTAGCGCCCTCGCCTCGCGGGCCTTTCGCTCCGCCAACTCGTCGCGCAGCCGCCGCGCCGCCCGCAGCGCCTCCGAGCCGTCGGCGGCCTGGGTGGTGTTCGCGTTGATCGCCGCCCTGAGCGCCTCGAGATCGGCGTCGCCTCGCTCGCACGCCTCAACCGCCTCGCGCAGCGCCGCCTCGGCAGCATCGCGCACCTCTGCCGCCTCAGCAGCCGCTGCCGCCTCGCGTGCGGCCTCAGCGGCCTGTTCGGCTGATTCTGCGACCAACGTCTCCCTCTCTGCTTCTGCTGCGGTCGACGAGTGCTCCTCGAGGGCGCGCACGCACTCGGCGTGGCGTTCCTCCTCGGCCCACTGAAGCGCCGTCGTGCCGTCAACAGTGCGCGCCGCCGCGTCTGCGCCCGCCCTCAGCAAGCGCCGCACGACGGCGGGGTGGTTGAAGAGGGCGGCCATCATCAGCGCGGTGTCGCCGTCGCTGTCCTGAAGATTGACTTCAGCGCCGCGCCGTATCAGCAGGTCGACCACCCGCTCGCGGCCTTCCTGGGCGGCGCCCATCAGCGCGGTCTCGCCGTCGCTCCTCTGCAGGTCGAGCTCCGCGCCGTACCGCAGCAGCAGCTCGATCACCCGCTCGTGGCCGCGGCTGGCGGCGTACATCAGCAGCGTGAGGCCACTCACCTCGCCTCTCTCGTACGTCGCGTCGGCCCGCCCGCCGCCGTCAAGCCACGCCAGCACCGCCTGCTCGTCACCTCGCCCAACCGCTGCCACGACCTCGTCGGAGACTGCCACGACACAGCTTGGGGGCCCGCCCCGCCGCCACCGCTGGAGAGAGCGTCTTCGCGACTCTCGATCCAGCCGAGGAAGCGCCGCCGGAGGAAGCGCCGCCTGCGCCTGCGCCGCCGGCTGCCGCCGCCGTGGGCCGTCCCGCCACGACCGACTCCTTGACGTGCTGCCTGAAGGCCTCCGACGCACTCGGCGTTGCCCTCCTTCTTGGCCAGCAGCAGCGCCGTCTTGCCGCTCGCACTGCGCGCCGCATCTGCGCCCGCCCGCAGCAAGCGCCGCACGACGGCGGGCTGGTTGAAGAGGGCGGCGAACATCAGCGCGGTGTAGCCGCCGCTGTTCTGCAGG